CATTGGAAGCTTTTGAATTAAAGGCTCGACTATTATTATAAACTACAAAATGAAATTTGGGGCTTATTCGATTCCTAATCTCATCACACTCATCCTGTCCAAAGAAGTGTCGTCTACATGCCAAATTGCATTATCGTCAAGTGTAACGACAATAGTATTTATAGAGAGAATGGCTGCGATATTTTGAGAAAAATTTTCTTTTGTCATTAGTTTTGATGTCATTTACTTCCACGAGGAGTAGGGGCGACGATTGGATCTACAACTATATTAGTGGCCTTGGGTATAACATTTAAGAAAGGAAGAATTGTAGTTTTGGTAATTGTTATCTCTATAATGCACTTAAGAATTTAGACTTTTAGGGGGAGAGAGATAAATATTATTATATTATCCTCAATATATGAAGGACAACTGTATCATTGTGAATGAGACTGTGACAAGAGTCTCTTGATTTATTGTTGAGAGGACATCGGATGAAAGCTTCGCCTATCAAATGCAAAGTGTTTGACATCAAGAGGTTAGCGGCCTTGGCTACAAGATTTAGGAAAGGAAGAATTGTGGCTATGGTGATTGTAATCTCTATAACATCTTCAAGAATTTGGATATTTAGGGGGAGAGAGATTGATATTATCATGTTCTCATTAATAAGAGGGAAACCATGTCATTGTGAATGAGACTATGACTAGAGTCTCTTGATCCATCATTAGGAGGACACAGGCGAAAGCTTTGCCCATGGAGTGCAAAGTGCTGAACATCGAGTAATTATTGTTAGGAGCCATTGCTGAAGAAAGATGGGATGTGACAAGGGGCTTAACATTTGAGATGGTTAAGCCACTTTATATCCTTAAGCTGTATTTGTAAATTGGTTAGAGGATATGGGGAGAGATGTAAGCCCTATAAGTCAAATACTTCAATAATCCTAATAGGAAATCAACATGTCCTATTATGTTCTAGAATAAAAGAATTAGCACCAAATTGTAAACATTTATCACATGGCTTTCCAAACTTATCTCAATAAAAAAGGGTTATTCCAGTTTGTCGGAATTTGGGGAAATGTGTGATAAGGTGTCTTATCTAATGGCTTGGTTATGCCCAACCTATGGAAGCAAAAAAAAAGAAAACCTTTTAATAATTACAGTAATTAATAGTCATAGGATTGTTGACCTCCGTATAAGAAACCAAAAGAGAACGAGAGAGAGATCGGGAATACCTTGTATCCCGTCGAAAGCTCGCGCAAATGCTGCAGAAATCCCGCTGAATCCAGGAATTCCGTCAAAACTACTGCAGACGCGGCGCCGTTCGTGTCTGTCTCCGCGATTCCTGCTCAAACTCCGCTCGAGGGGGGCTCATTCTCTTCGTTAAATACCGACCCAAAGCCCCCATTCTCTGCCTGCTCTCGACTCCAAGCCACGATCAAACCCGTCGCTCTTCCCTCCTCTCCCACAGTCGCAAGCTTCCGATCCTTTCTCTGCATGTGTCGATCCCAATCTCAGAGAAGCAGAGAGAGAGAGAGAAAGGGAGACTTCTTCCTATCTTAGCCAAGCTTCCACCTCCTGTAGCCGAAACCTCAGCTCCCGTCGCTACCTTCCTCTCTATTCGCGAACAAAACCCGTGCCTTCTTCTTGACCGATCTTCCCAAGCCGCGAGCCTTTATTGACCTCTCTGCCTCTCATTTCTTCCGATCCAATCACAAGCCGAGAGAGAGAGAGAGAGAGGAAGAGGGAGATAAGAGAACTACCTACCCGATTCCAAGCAGCTCCCTTGCCGTGAAGGTAACTTTCTCCCTTTCACGAACTCGCTCGGCCAAATCCCGTAAGCCAGCCGAATCAGAGGGAGAGAAGAGGGATTTTTATTATTATTAGTTAATTAATATTAATTAGTTATTAATTATAATTTATTATTAATTAATTATAATTATCAATTATAATTAATTATTGATTAATTATAATTATAATAAACTTGAATCTTCTATATTCTTTTTTTGACTTTTTCTCTTTGTTTGAGTAGTTTTTACATTGTTTAAACTATTTTTAGAGCTTTCTTGACCAGTCAGCTGCAACACTTTTAAATATGAAGTTATCCCCTGTTAGATTATGGTTTGTATGACACTTGAGAGTTGCAGGGATAAAATTGAACCGCAGGAGAAATAGAAAAAGTGTGATGATCGAACTCTTGGATCTTGCCCCTCCTTCGTCCAATTAGAATGCTGACAATTTACTCGTTTGCCTATTTGGTTTATGGCCTTTGCTACTGTTACTGAGACTTTACAAGTGCCAAAACCCTGGAATTAAATCCCGTCTTCCTCAAATAAAAAAAAAGCACCTTCCGATCCTTATCCTTTTGAACTCAAGCCTCAGTGAACTCTCAAACTCAAGTGAAACTGAAACTTGGTTATAGTGGGGATGCAAGCTTTCTTTGGCCATGTAGTTGGTGCGAGCAATATAGTTAAATTGAGGATGGTGTGCTCTCTGATGATTAATCCTTTTTCTCAACAATGAAATACATCTAATTTATAGCTGATGCAGGCAGGGTTACGACTTGAAGTTTATAAAATATGCATTCTACCGAGGTTTTTGGTTAGCCTTTTTTTTTTTTTTTTTCCATGCATTTTCCAGAGTTGACCACCTTGGACTGTTTATGCCACAAGAAAATGCAGAGTTACAGTGATATTCTTGATTGCACTTCAGCTTGATGGATTTATGTGTCTTCATGTGGACAAAACATGTAGGTATGGGAGGGAAGGTTTTCATGGGCTATAGGGAGGGTGGAGGGATTGGTGGCTATTTGATGAACTATGGGAAGAGGCGCATAGAGAGAATATGATAAGCTGAATTACTCAGCTCAGGAAACCAACTCTTTAAAGCTAGGGCTCTCTGAAATCCTTGAAGCAAGCCTATTTTTTATTTGAGAAATAAGAAATATGCCTACTCCAGATATGGCTTGAACAGCTTAAAGACTCTAGTTGAGAAATCTTCCTGCCTGCTTCAATTATCCTAAATTTAGCTAAGTTCAAATGGTTTTACAGCTGCCGATGTCCCATTTCAAGAAGCCTTAACAGCTAGTGCAGTGCTTCAATCATCCTAACCTTGGTCTATATGCTTGTTAATGAGGCCTTGATTGAACAAAATGGTATATAAAGCTTTTCTCGAATGCGAGAGGTCTATGAAAGTTACAAACTAGGACATAGCTGTAATGTACTGTCTTGAAGTTAGTTGCACGAGAGGCACACTGGCTTGCCAATAGCTTTTCTTAATTCTCCTTCACTGCGGGCCCCCTCTGCCAGCCAATAGCTTTTTTTTATTATGTCTAATCTTTTTTACTCATGATTTAAGTATGTTGTTACGTCCTATGGGTGCTTTTATAAGTTCTTATTAGACAAGCATATCGTACATTTTGGTTGTCCAAAGGCCAAAATTCTTTGAGAAATAAAAAATTTCAATCTCAAACTTCATGACCATTGTATACTTTATAATCTCACTGTGATACTTATTAGGAAGGAGAGTGTCCTTAACCTAGAGACAAGTACGATGAATCACAAAGTAATTGACTGCAAAAGAGTTCAATTATCACAAAAGAGAATACAAAAAATTATGTGATTTCTTAAGTAAACCTATATCCATAGCTGCACAGATTAAATAATCTATTAAACTTCAGAAGAGATGCATGAAGTATTATATTTTATACAAAATTAGAGATTTGTACAAAATAAGATTGTCTGGCTGGAGCTGAGAGAATATGCAATTACCTATTACAAAGATGAGGGCTAGACTTATTTTTTATTGAATAATCCGAAGATGCCCACTTATAAGTACTCCAAAGACTTTTTTTTTCTTGGTTAACATCCCTCTCATTTCTTGCTCTTATGCTCTTCTCGACAGGTCGGGTTCGGGTCGAACCCCGAGTTGACCCGGATCTAAACGGGTCAACCCGAACCCAACCCGGTTTTGTAAATGGGTCGGACATTTCAACCCGGACCCGACCCGCACGGCAGAAGGCGGAGTTCCGAGCACGCCATAGCGCGAGTGCGGACAGAGTCCGCGGACCGCGCGATGATGCGAGTGCGGAAGGATTCCGCGACTCTGCGATGTCGTGAGTGAGAGTGGAAACCAGGTTGGAGTAGACTTTATGGTCAGTGTCGCGTTGATTTCGGGTTCTCGGGTCAACCCGAACCTGACCCGTTTTTGAAACGGTTCAAAAATGTGAACCCGAACTCAACCCGTTTGCTAAACGGGTCAACCCGAACCTGGATTTTTCAGGGTCGGGCCCGGGTCGGGTCAGAAATTGACACCCCTAGTTGACGGTGTTGGACCTGGCGGTAGGGCTGTCAATTCCTGACATGACCCGCTAACCCGACCCGAACCCGACCCGGAAAATCCGAGTTCGTGTCAACCCGTGAAAGAAACGGGTCGGGTTCGACCCGAACCCGACGGGTTGACCCGAATTGACAGCCCTACATGGTGGCTGTCAACAACGATAGAGAGTACACTGGCAGCAACAATGATTCTTGGTCTGTAGAGTCTTTGCCAGGAGAAGGCAAGGAGGCGGTAATGACGAGAGAGATGTTGGGCAACGTGGGTGGTGTTGCTACACCGGTTAGGTGCCAACGGAGCTGGTAACGGCGTCAGCGACAAAGAGTTCGTCGTTTCAGAAGGAGCATGATTATAATGATTGCATGCTTAATTTTTTAAAAAGTCTCGTGGCTCCAGAAAACTTCGTATGTGTTTGCATTTTATACTTTGCTTTATATATTTTTTCTAAGTTGTCTATGATCAACCATGATCAGAAGACAATTTGAGCCATATAAAATCTATGATTTGCTAAACAGTTTTGGTGTCCGATTATTTGACTTGCGCATTTTAAGCTCAAATTTAATGCATTTTCAAAAGTTAGTAGTGTTTAATGTCTTATAGTGTACAGTAATTTGATGCTTGTTTATTATATGCATTGCTATTCTGGAGTTTTTGGCTTTCATTCCGAAGTCCTTTTTAATTTTGTGAATAAACTTTCTTCTTGATCCTGACAGAGTCGATATACGTTAGAATTTATGAAGAGCGGATGGACATTCTTCGTGCTGTTATCATTGGACCAGCTGGAACTCCATATCATGATGGTCTCTTTTTTTTTGACATTTACTTTCCCCCAACTTTTCCCATGATACCCCCGGTATGGAGCCATTGGCCATTCAATTTTAGCACTTAACTACATGTTGAGCTTTCTCTACAAGAGCTGAGTAATTATATCTTTCTTTATGGGTTCAAATGCTATATAGATGGTTCATTATCATTCTGGAGGACTTCGTCTGAATCCCAACTTATATGCTTGTGGAAAAGTTTGCCTAAGCCTTCTTAATACCTGGCCTGGCCAAGGCTGTGAGAATTGGAATTCATCCAACTCGACCATTCTGCAAATTTTAGTCTCCATCCAAGCCTTGGTTTTAAATGCCAAACCCTACTTCAATGAGCCAGGCTTTGTGCATTTAGTTAATACACCTTATGGAGAGAAGGAATCTCTAGCTTATAATGAGGCGACGTTCATCTCATCTTGCAAGACTATGTTGTATTCCCTACGGAATCCCCCTAAGGTGAGCGGCAGTTTCTAGTTCTTTTTAACTGGGGATTCATGCTTTCTGCTTTTCTAATTACATTCGTGATTTCAGTATCCCAAAGACATAAAAGATAGAAAAACTATATTTTTTATAATTGAACATATCATGAATCTAGTCTAGGGGTGTAAGTGAGCTGAGCCGACTCGAGCTTGACTCGTTTATGGGCTCGCGAGCCGAGCTTATCGAGCTCATGAGTCGAGCTTGAGCTCGAGTTCGAGCCGGTTCGACTCGTGAGCTCGCGATCCGACTCGAATAAATATTAATATTTTTTGAATAATTTTGTTTTATTTATTAAATTTAAATATTAAACAAATTTAATAAAAACTATCTAAGTTTTATTTAAATGTTAAACATTTCATTTTTTTTTCTAAATTTTAACTAAGTTTAAAAAATCCTGCTTAAGTTTTAATAATCTTGCCTAATTTTTAAAACTCACGCATAAATTTTAAAATTCCCGCCCATGGCTCGTGAGCTGGCTCGAGCTCGTTTACAGTGAGATGAGCTTGAGTTCGAGCTCGCTTTCCAACTGACAAGCCGAGCTCGATAAAGGCCTAAACTCGACTCGTTTACACCCCTAATCTAGTCTATAGTAACTTCTTCCTTACGGTGGTTTTGTTTCGATAGACTAATTAATTGCCTGATAATAAAATATTGAAGTCATTTTTCTATCCACCTGATACTCTTAAGTAATTTGCTGTAAATCATATAATGTAATGCGTTAATGTTATATATCATGGTGTTACAGGTAGATTAGTGACCTAGAATTAACAATTAATAAATGAGTTTTTGAGCTTATTATTTGTACTGAAAAAATAAAGAGAATATGAATGGCATAATGTGGTTATGTTTGACATAATAGTGTGGATGGGCTCCTGCTAGGAAGCACGGTCTGTTGCATTGTATCAGACTTTTGGACAGTAAAGAACCGTTGGACATTATGCAGAACTTGCTATCTGGTGTACATTATTATATTCTTACGTTTTTTAACTGATACTTCATGAACACCATTTAGACATTGTGTTTATATTTTTGGAATAATCTTATTACTTTTATCCAGACCTAATGATCTTATATGGAATATATAGCTTTTGACTGTAGTGGATAGTAGCTTTAGCAAGGGTTATGGTGTCAAGTGTTGGCCATTAAAAGAGAAACATAATACTAAGTTAAGTGTTGCAGCGATGAGGATGCTTAGGTGGATGAGTGACTTTACTCTTAGAGATAGGATATAAAATGAGCATATACGTGAAAAGGTTGGAGTAGCTCCAGTGAAAGATAAGATTAGAGAGTCGCCTTAGATGATTTGGTCACATTAAATGGAGGCCTTCCGATGACCCGGTTAGAAAACTTGAGGTATTAGATTTGACTTATGTTAAGAAAGGTAGGGTAGATCTAAAAAGTCTTGGTTAGAAAATATTAGAAATAATCTTTCTTTATTAGATTTAAATGGCGAAAAAAGGATTCATGTAGCCGACCCCACGTAGTGGGATAAATGCTTGATGTTGTTGGTGTTGTACTGTAGTGGATAGTAGCTTTAGCAAGGGTTGCTAGCATCAAGAGTAGGAGGTTAAGATGAAAAAAGGAGAAACAAAAATAAGAGAAGAAAAGCAGCTTGGTGAGGGAGGAAGGTGGTAGATGCGTTGGAGAAGGCTTTTTGGGCAATCTTACGCAACCTCCTGAATCATCCAGGGTAGAAGGAAACATCATCCCAAATGCTGTATGAAGCCATGGATAAAACTTTGCAGATAATGTGGAATCAAACCTAGGGTCCTTGTATGTTTAGAACATTCACCACAAGAATAACGTGAATTTATGACTGAGTTGGTGACTACCATTAGTATTCTATAGCTAGCATAATTAATTTGCGATTGCTTTTGTGACCGTTTGGGTGTGGCCCCCATTTCTTCCTTCATTTGATCTCCAAATTCTAAATCCCCTTTCCCAAACTCCCTTCTTTAAGCAACGCTCTGAGTTTGCGACTACCCTTGCTGTGATGGTGAATGACAACTGACTTAGATCTCTGACATTGTCCCTCTCGGCTCATCATCACATGCTACATTAACCCTCTCGGCTCCTCATCACATGCTACAATTGATCATCCCCTCTCTATTGCCCATTCTCGTATCAAATCCATATTGTTTTGTATTCCTCACAGGTGAATAATTGTCTCTCTCGGCTCCTCTTCGTGTGCTACAATTGATCATCCCCTCTCCATTTCTCGTTCCAGTATCAAATTCATATTGTTTTTTATTCCTAACAAATGAATATTTCCTTCCTCTAAGTTAGGAACTTTATATGTTCTCCTGTCATCATTTTCAGTCTTATTTTTAAATCTCTTATTTTTCTCTGCTTTTTTAAATCTCTATTTTTTCTCTACTTCTATATTGAGTTATACCTTACAAGAACGTGTACCATTATTTCCTTGTTTTGGAATCTTTCCAACGCTTTTTAATAATTTTTAAAGCCATCCAAATGGTGAAATAAAAAACAGCATAAATTGAGAAACAATGACTGATTTTTGTATTAATACTTCAATACCAAAGTAAGATACAATGATCTACCATTAGAGAGGTAGATCGGCTCTCCCACTTGACCTAGACACCGCTAGGAAGCGCTCAAGAGAAAGATATCGAAAAACTCCAGTAAACTCCAAAGATTCATGATGAAAATAAACCCTAAAATCATCCCTAATTAAACTCTCATAATTCCCCCCAAAATAGCCCCCTTAATTAATTTCCCTCTACTTTTTCTATTTCAAAATTAGAATGCTTCCCTTTAACATTTTCCTCCTTATTTCTTCTTTAATAATAAAGCAAGATATAATTGATCTACTATTCAAGAGGTAGATCAGCTCTCTCAGAAACCCTAGACGCCAGTAGGAACTCACAACAAGCACTATGAAAATAAACTCAACAATATCATACCCATACAAACTCACCCTTAAATAGACCTAGAACACTAACACAATCAGAACATTCTTAATTAGCATAAATATAATTTAGGAAACCTTCCTAAACAATTAAACATGATTTAAGAAACTTTCATAAAATATTAAATACTTCCTAAATAGTATAAACATAATTAAGAAACTTTCATAAATAACTCCCCCTTGATTAGGAACATTCCTAGAAACTTTTCTTAACAACTCCCTCTTGATTAGGAACCTTCTGAAATAGCTCCCCCTTCTTAGCCTCTGATAAGCATTCCCAGAGATAGATATGTGGGCTCACTAGTCCATGTGAACTCCGCCACTTACTTTCATTACAGCAGTCTTGGCTCTCTCAAACCGCTGGATACCTGCTCTTTTATCCTGACCTTTCCTTACTAACTAATTTCTGCAATATATACAGAATTCTTGTAGCATTCTAAAGTGACATAATGAACAATTTATCAGATTATTATTCTGTGTGGAGTTCGGAGCATCCAATAAAATGTACCGTGCTCGGTGCCGCTCAGTACTGAGCGTGTAACCGAGCGGGAGAATCGTCCGGTGTTCACATAGAATAATAGCTCCAATTTACGTGTTATCTTTGTTCTTTGTTTTTCTTTTGCTTCCTGCGGTGTGCAGGTTCTAACAGATACCTTAACTATGTTTTGCAGAATTTTGAAGACTTTGTTGCTGAACATTTCCGCTGCAAAGGCGGCGCAATCCTTGCAGCATGCAGAGAATACATTGAAGGTGCTCAGGTTGGCTGTGTCGTTGGCAATGGTGTGCAACATGTAGACAAAGTTGATATGAGCTGTTCATCAACATTCAAGCAGAATCTCAGCGCCCTTTATGATCATCTGGTAATGCAGTTCGCTGCCAAAGGGAGCTCAAGCTAAGTAAGGTTAAGGTTTCGTTTGGGACGGCTTTCTTACTGTTTCTTAAAGTAGCTTTTTAATATAAAATTAAAAAATTTTATACTAAAAAACTGCTTTAAGAAGCATAAAGAAAGCCGTCTCAAACGAGAAAAATTATTCCGTCAAGTTACCTGACGTAGAGTTACATCAAGTAGCCTATAATATGTCGCCATGTGCACTTACTCTTTATCGCGCGGCCCAACGACCCGACCCGGAACGGACCCGGGAGTTTGCGTAGCTCGGTATTGCTATGTATTAGTCGATTTTGCTCGACAAAAATGAAAAATACTATTATGTGAAGACCAATACCGAGCAATACCGAGTTCTTTTAGGTATTACTCGGTATTGCACTATATTGCTCGGTATTGGTCTTCAAATAGCGGTATTTCTCATTATTGCCAAGCAATACCGAGCAAATACCGAGCAATACGCGAACATAGTAATCCCGAATTCCGCTCGAGTCGGGTCGTCGGGCCGCGCGGTAAAAAATTAGTGCATGTGGCGACATATTATAAGCTACCTGATGTAGCTCTACGTCAGGTAACATGACGGAATAATTTTTCCCCAAACGAAGCCTAAATCTCAGCTCAGAAGGTCATAAAGCAAATCAAAGCAGCAAGCAATGGACTGTTTATATGTTGCCATCACTCCAGGCAGTTTAGCTGCTAGGTTAGTTCAATAGTAGTGTAAATAGTAGATTTGGGTCTGGTGATTATTAGAATATGCAGGGGTTGACCATGGCTTCCTTGGATGATATTTTTGCTCTTCTTCTTTTATTGGATGTGTAAGTTTGCTTTATCTCATTTATCCACTTCCTTCAACTGTGAAAATAGGATTGCAAGGCGAGTATTGCTGGCCTGTGATGTTACTCTGCAATATTCAGATCTATTCTTTCATACACAATGAATGGTCTATTTACTTCTTTTCAAGCTAAATTTTTAGCATAAAAATTTCTGAAAAGCAATAAAAAAAGTGTTCAAAAGCTATCTCAAACAAAGCCTGGGGTGGTTTTTTTACTGCTTTATTAAAGCAATTTTTTAGTATAAAAATTTTAATTTTTGTACTAGAAAACTACTTTAAGAAGTATTAAGAAAGCCATCCCAAACGAAACCTTAGTTGATAGGATTTTCAGTTATGATTGCAGCTCATGCTTCTGGTGAAGTTCTTTGTATCTTACTTATATATTTGTCTATTTTGGTTCCTAGCATGGTATTTAGTGATAAGGATCAATGGTGCATCAATGATTGTGTTATTGTAGATCTTTTGAATGGCTGGCTCATCATAATAAGCAAAAGACTTAGCCAATGCGCTTGGACCATTAAGATGATTACGATCAAATAATAATAATAATATAAAGTTTTAATCTTAGTACACGAGGTCGGTTGTATGCATTCTTTCTCTTCATTTCATTATGTCTATTGAGAGTTAAATTCTCATTTAAATCTAATAAAAATGTCATTTTTAATATTTTCTAACCAAGCCTTTTTTTTCTTTCTCAATTATGTTCTACTGATCCCCCTCGTGTTGGGAAAATTATTAGGTCCGGTCACCGGACATATAGATAGGTCCGGACACCAATAAAATATTGACATGTGGAATGTATACGTGTCCGTAAAATTTTAAGTCAAAAGCGTCAAAAGCGTAGGTAAAGTGCATGTAAAGCGCAATCAAAAAGTGCATCTAAAGCACAGTAAAAAAGCACAGTTCACGTGGGAAGTTTTAATTGGATGTACGGATCTTTTTTTAGTTCCGATGATCAGACCTAATAATTTGCCCTCATGTTGTGGAGAGATTATTAGGTGCGGAGTGCATAAGGGGAGAATCATCTGCACACTAGTATAAAATCTAGCTAGGTACCATTTGGTACCGCTGGGTACCACTAGGTACTGCTTGGTACCCTGTGTGTGTGCAGACGGTGCTTTCCCCGTCTGCACTCCGCACCTAATAATTTTTCGTGGGAAGGACAAAGAGAAGTTTGCATACACGAAGGAAAGTTAAGTGGATGGTAAGGAAGTAGCATTCTTTATATTGTTTAAATAATTGAGTGCCATAATAATTATTCATTTTTAACACCCTGTTATATTTATAAGCTAGTTTATTGATTATTGCTTCCGTTTTCGTCTGCATATCGTTATCGTCGACGCCTAGTTCCTCCATTTTTCTATTCTTCTTCCGCGGTTTTCTCAAACGAGGGAGGTTGAAGACAGATGTAAATCAGGGCAAATTATTGAGTCAGGTGACCGGAGGCGGAAAATAAGTTTGGACATCCAATAAAAATTTGCCACGTCATCTCGCGCTTTTTGACTTGCGCTTTAGTTGCGCTTTGATTACGCTTTAGTTGCGCTTTTTGACTTGCACTTTAGTTACGCTTTACCTACGTTTTAGTTGCGCTTTAATTACACTTTACTTGCCCTAATTTTAAAATAATATTTTATTAATATACTGAAATATCGCGTTCCGTCACCTGCCCCAATAATTATTTGCCGTAAATCAGAGGCGGAAGGCGAGGGCAGTGAAAGCTGAATATGCAGAGAAAGAAATATAACATTAACAAAGGTAAAGAAGAAAAGAACTGAAGAAATAATTAGTAAGCCAAGGCCGAAGAAGCCCTTTGCGTAAAAGCAGGGAAAAGTGGAGTTTCGCATGCTCTGATTTTGGAAGAAGTGAATGCCAAATTGAATTGTGGAAGAATTAGGGTTTTGCTAGGTATGTGCTGAATTCCTTTGGGTTTATTTTGTTGGCATTAGTTTGCGAGTTATTTGGGATCAAGCGAGCGGCCAAGTAGCTAGGAAGGATAATTTCAGACCTTAGCGTGAGGAAGCCTCCTTACATTCTTCATTGACATCGTCGTTGCCATCTTCCGATTATGCTTAGGGCTTAGGTATGCCCTAAACTTTGAAAGTAGTTTTCATTAATTATGTATGATTATGATGGAAGTGATAAATGATTATTTGATGGGTCATCTTAAGGGGCTGTTTGGTAGCAGGATTTAGGCCGGATTTGAGCGAAATTTAGCCAAACAACCTAAAATGCAAAACCACACCAATAACTAATAACAATTATATTTTAAATGGTATAATTTTTCTCCTTTAATAAGATTGATTTAGACGGCCATCGCTGTTTTTTTATGACTTTTTGAATATTGAAGGCTCAAAATTCCTTTGTGAACTTATACAATCATATATATATAAAGTTACGAGCAGGGGCGGAACCAATCATAATTTTCAGGGGGGCAAACATATAAGTAATTGTTCGCATATACGTAGGGGGTCCAAGGGGGCAGCTCCCCATGGCAAGGTTCGACCTGCCCGGTTAGGTCGCGGGGTCAAGGGGCAGCGCCCCTGCGGGTGTTTCCGGGGGCACTGCCCCCGGAACAAATTTTGATTTACTATTTTTCTTTGTATTTGGTTCATCATTCCCTAACAATAATACATCCACACAATGTATTTAATTATATTGGGGGCAATTGTCTAAAGACCATAGTATTTTAACATTTTTTAGGGGGGGCAATTTGCTTAAAGCACTTGTAATAATGACTAAAAGTAATCTAACTAAGAGTATAATAAAAAAAAAATTTTTTTTTGAGGGGGGGCAATTGACCCCCCTAGCCATAGAGGGGTTCCGCCCCTGCATATGAGTTAATATCAAATTTTGGTTGTTAAATATGTAAATAGGATAATTTTACATGTTATGTATGTAAATCTCTCTTCTTTTTAAAGAAATATTATACAACAAACAAACAACGAATATAAATGTAGATGGTCAAAACAAAAATAAGACTGCTTGTATAAAAAAAAAAAAAAGATTGGGACTAGCAATTTTTAATAAATAAACCACTAAAAAATATATATTATTATTTTTTAATAAAAGCTGTCTGAGATTTTTTTGGGGCATTTAGGTCATTTAAGGCAAATACACACACAACGCATACACATAGACTCGAATCATAGACCTCTTAGTTGGAAGCCTAAGCTCTCAACCAAAAAGTCAAGGAGAGTTGTGTAAAGCTGTCTGATATTATTATTATTATTTTTCTTTTGTACCTTCGATTGTCTACAATGAATTTCAGAGGTCAGCAATTGACTTGAGAGGATTTTTTTTTTAATTTATTTTTTTTGGAAAAAAGCGCCATTAGGCATGAAATTTCACAGGGCTTATTACATTTTCAAGAGAGTTTTGTTCAAAGTTTAAGTTTTACTGATTGGTAATTCAAGCAGCCATTTTTGACCGTGATATATCATCAAAAAATTGGGCACGAATCTCGAGGCAAAAATCAAGTTGGAAGCTTCAAAAATTAAATTTGGGACCATCTAAACTCCAATTACAACAAACTTATAGTCAAACTGAACATCTCGGAAATACGAATCCAACGACATCAAATTCGACTCAATCCGGGCCAATGAGTCCAAATCAATGACCCGAAGCACATTTGGAGGGTTCAAACTATAATTTGGATTACCAAACAGTTTTCAAATATGACGTATAGTAGAATCGAGCGTCTTGACAAACCGAATCCAACAAGCCCAAGATCGTCAAATTTTGATATCATTAGAGCCTTCAAATGACTGATAAGCAGTCCACGATTAAGGGATTCAACATCGGCCATCCATTCAAACCACTCTCAATTTACTCTTGATCTTCCTTTTATTTACTGGTCATGTCACTATTAGAAAACTATAAATATACCCCTCATTTTTTTTTTTGAAAGGGGACCCAAGCAAGAAAAGAAGGAGAGAAGAGAAGGAAGAAGAGGGAGAGAATGAAGAAGCTCCTCCTCGACCATCGTCGAACTTTCACCCGACAATCGACCGATGCTGGAATTAAGCAAAAAAGCAAGCAGAGAAGATGAGAAGAAGAGAAGAGAAGGAAGAAGAGAATGAAAAAGCTCCTCCTTGACCACTTCCAGACTTTCACCCAGCAGCCGACTGACGCTAGAATTAAGCAAGGAAGTAAGAAGTGAGGGAAGAAGAGAAGAAAGAAGCTC